CCCTAATGGTACGCTACAGACCGCGGCACAAGCTAATATCACTTCAGTTGGTACGCTACGCTCAAAATAAGGGCGGTACTGGTCTATTCACTCCGAACATTCAGTTCTGGTACAACGCAGCATGGACGAACTTTGACCACAGTTTGTATCTGGGCATCACTCAGGGATCAGCCACTGCACAGAAGGCCCTTGTTGTTAATAGCACGCTCGATATAAGCGGTATTAGGAATTTGGGTTGCACAGAAACTGCCACCCTATCTACAGTCAATGTAACTACTCTTCAGAAAGCCAGCGTTACGATCACTGCTACAGCCGCTGAATTGAATTACTGTGATATTACATCATTGGGTAGTGCTCAAGCCTCAAGGTTCTCACGTGCGATGGAAGCCTGAATTGCTCTGGAATCAACAACTTATCTATCACCGGAACCACCGCTTCGTCTAATTGTGCTACAGGAGCCCTCACTGTAGGAGGAGGTCTTGGAGTGGCTGGCATCATCAACTGTGCAAGTAGTGTTAATATAGGCGGAACCAGTACTTTTAGCTCTCGAATCTTTCATAATAACTCCTATACGATACTTGGTAATGCAGCAGCTCTTTCTGGTAGTAGCACATGCGCTGATTATCAGTACGCCGTTGGGCAACAGACAGATACCATTGGTTATGCCTCTGGCATAGCTTTTGTAAATGATAGTAGTGTAGTGTGAGGTGACTATGCAAGCCTTGCTCATATTGCATTGGGCTTTGCAGAGCACTCGCCCAGCTGGTACGCTACTCATGGGGTCCATGAGAAGTCAGGAGTTAAGCAACCGTCCATAAAATCTATAGAAGAGAACAATCTGTAGAAGACGCTAGGCATGAGGGATGTCAGAGCTCTCGCTCTGTCATCCTCACCTTTGAATCTACTCGGCGACCAACACTTTAGGAAGTGCCAGCTTCCCTATCACTGTGTTAACGTTTTTAGTAGCGGAACGCGTTACAGTAGTTATAATATTGCTTTATCTACTATTACGCCCTCATTGCTACACGATCTGGATCTGGTTACTGCTTATCGAATTTATCGTTTTATACTCGCACTGGAAGCGCCGCTCTCAGTACCTTAGCTGAAAGAATGAGAATTAATCAGGATGGAAGGGTTTCTATCATGGGAAATGCATCTGGTATTGAAGGATCTCAACATTTAAATTTATTGTAATGCTTCTTTTCGTATTGGAGCAGCTGAATCAACGAAGAATTGCTTCACGATGCAATACACATATGCTGGCGCCGCTTCATCTAATAACGCGATCAGTTTTGATTGCTATTGTATGGTACTTCTAACACTCTCTGTATCAAGTCGAATGGGCAAGTAGGCATCAATGCTGCCCCTGCTTCAATACAAGCTGAGCTTTATGTGAGCGGTTGGACCTGGACTACTCAGTCGTATTATAGTGCTGCTAATTCATCTTCGATAGCTAATTATCGTGGAAACTGGTCTTCAGCTAACTATTAAGGTATGGGATCAGATGCAACTGTTGGTGCTATTCGTATCCGTATCTGTGATGCTACATGTACCTGGACAGCATATGCGCCTGTTCGTGGAGGTGCCTACACCAATGCATCTGACCAACGGCCTAAGACAGACATTGTAGACGTGCCGTATGGGTTAGATGCAGTTTTACAAATGCAGCCTCGTAAGTTCAAAATGATACAAGAAAACAATGTTCATGTAGGATTCGTAGCGCAAGAGTTAGCTGCTGTAATTCCAGAAGCAGTAGAGCAAGGAGCAAATGATGACCTGAACCCTGGCGGTTTTCCTATTAACCCTTGGGGCATCGATTTAGCATCACTGACTTCAGTTCTGTGCAAAGCTATCCAAGAGCAGCAAGCTCAAATCGAAGAACTCAAGAGAACTATTTCAACCCTACTATAGAGCGGAATTGTCAGCGACAAAAAAAAATGCAAGTGTATCGCGATTTTTTTTTAGCAAACTCGGAGCCTTTAGGCTCTTTCTGAGCTCAGACCGTGAAAATTGCGTTAAGGCCCATCCGTACCTTCTTGACATAGTCTTTGAACGATCGTTCTCCCTTGGCGTAGGTCGTTTTTGGCTTAATATCATTCATCATATCGAAGTGGCCCTTCTGAGTTCGCTTATCAATCGCGGCCTCGAACTTCGTCTTAACAGCTTCGTAAAACTCGTTCTGGTCCCATTTATCAGCATTTTCACCAGCTGCGTTGAATATTTCTGATAACTTATCGAAATCATATCGCAGAGACTTATTTTTCGTCAGTAGCTTTTTCATGCGTTTGATTGCTTCTTCAGATGACATTTTCTTCTCATAATCCCCACCATCAGCATCGGTTTCGTCGGGAACATCTTCTGCAAAATCAGGTTTAATTTTTTCATCTTTTGGCTTGACGGTGCGTCTAGACGCCTTTTTCTTCAACTTGCCATTGCGTGTAGAGTCCTCGGACATACTACGGTCATGCTTGCGTCCAATCATTAGTTCATTCGCTACGTACGCGGCGGCCTCCTCAGCTTCATCAGGGGTCATTACTCGGTTGGAATTAACCTTATCGGCACGAGCCTTTTTCTGATAATCCCCTACATAGCTTTTAGCCTCACGCTGAGCAAACTTCTGTGCATCGAAATGAGATTTTGCTCCTCAGAATCGACTAGAATCAGAATCAGAAAGCTTGTTACGATTCCATTGTTTTCAAGCATGCGTCGCTATGATTCGTCCCCAAGCAGCCTCGTCGAGGCCGCAACGTGCGTATGGAGTCAATACTACCCAGAAGACCACAACATCGGCATCCGCCAACCAGGCGAGACTCGCTCAGCGCAATACTACAGCCCCATCAGCGACACCGACGGCCGTTTCCAGGCGGCCATGACCTTCCTCAACTGTTTCCGTGACGGCGAGCAATGGGCGCCACTACTGCAAGTAATACGCCAACGCCTGCAGCACTATGCTGTGGTATATTTTATG